GGCGTCACGTGATTGGGTGGAGGAGAATGTCACAGACAAATAGTCCCACATCGGCTAGGTGTAGGGCCGAAAAGCAGTATTTAAGTCCTGGGCTGCCCACCTCTCTTAAGGGCTCTTTTGAAAGGTGACAGGGAGCTGCAGATACTGCCCAAAGGCACGGGATCCCGCTCAAAGTTGCTGGAGAAGCCCCACGTCGCGTCAATAGACGTGGGAGAATCCCCACATCAATAATGGTGCGTCTTCTGCCCAGAAAAATGTATACGACCCCCCATGGATATATTATTAAGATATGTTATCACAATCCAGTATAAATTAAAACATTCACAAAATAGCTCATTACTTTATGGTACATTATATAATCTTGGTTCTTTGACTATGTTAGCTGCAAAATTTCTGTATAGACATAAATCACTTGTCATTTTTTTTTATCACACGCACTTTTGCAGTGCTACTTTGACACTACGATATGATGAGTCCTATGAAATTTTGCATGAAAGAAATTCAGGAGCTTTCTTTTTCAAGGTATGGGTGCAAGGGCAGTAGTTATTGGATACTTTTTTCTTACCTCATCTCCGTGAACCTCTTATTAATCTCTTGGTAAAGAACAAGCTAATAGTTCTAGTTTGGAAAACCACTTGTAAATCATTGTGGTGCCCTTGATCGTGCTGTACTTTAGAAAACCACTAATTTAAAGGACCGTTTTGAGGTAATATCCGTGTAAAGCTTTAGCAAGATCCTCAATTATTTGCATGACCGTTAAAATTTTTTAAAAATAAGAAATCACTAATTGGTTTACCTCTTTTTTAATTTTTTTCTCATTCGCAACATAACATCAAAGATATATTTTAAATGTTATACTCCTGTATCGCTTAAATAGCCACTAAGATGAGCATGGATTATTGTATTGTCAAGGTATGTGAAACTTTGAATTCAGTCCAGCATCCAGTAGTTAAAAATATATATTAGTATAAAAAAAACCAAATAGATGGCTCTCCTCCATAAAGCCATACTCTTGAGTGAAAACGAGTTGGATCCTTTGTGTATTGGGCTCAGTTTTTCCTCTTTGATTTTCTCTCCCCAAATAAGTGTTATCGTAGTTGATAGTTTGGCTAGGATCATGTGGTTTATCGCTTTCATAAGTTTTAGAAGCATCTATTATTATTGAGGGAGTAAAGTGCGGTTGATTCCACCAATGCCTTCATTTTGTTGATTTGACTCTCGATTTAAGATATTAGATTATGATTCTCTCTGAGGGAGTGATGTCCAATGTGAAGAACTTTCATGTTAGAGAGAGATTGCTAAGGCATGTGAACCCTCGAGTTTAATCATATATTAGATAATTGAAATATATATTTTCTTAGGAATATTATCAAACGGCTGCCTCTCTAAGGCTTAAGTTTTTTGAGTTAATAAGTCAGTGGTGTAATTTGACTCTCTAGCATGGATAACAAAGCTCTATTTTTTAAAAAAAGAGGCATCAAATCATTCTACCATTGATGCACAATTTATTGAAACATTTTAAGGCATTTTTAGTTTTCCCATTCAATGATATGTCCAAATTTAAACACTGTGATTTCTCAAGCTTAACTTGCTCTTTTTCTTTAACAAATATGCATATGGATAATGATATCTGTAAATGTATGTAAATGTGTGTGTGTGTGAGATATTATATTTATTTGTTGTGTAGTATGTTAATAATGATTATTGGGTTGTTGGACTAACGACATAGCGAGCTTCAACATTGATGATAAATGCTAGAAAATTGAACGCCTTGAACCAAAGACCTTGAATTTAATTCCTATTAAAGTGAAAATGATTAATAATAATTCAAAAAAGAAAAAAAAATCCACTCATCTTTTGGTTGGGTTCTTTCTACTTTTTATTTGTTCCAACCTTCTTTTATTTATTAATCTAACTTGCTTTAAGCATGATCCCTTGCTTTTTCTTAAATGCCATACAGGGGGTCGGAGAGACATTTGGAAGAGTTACAATTGAAGCTATGGCATTTGGCTTGCCGGTATTAATCACTCATCTATATTTATAATATCTATTTGCTCCAGAACCTTTATTACCAAAGGGGTTTTTCCATTATAATTTCAATTACCATTTTGATCCAGGTCCTTGGAACATTACCAAATGGCTTCAAAGGGTTTTTCCATTGTAATTTCAATTACCATTTTGATCCAGGTCCTTGGAACCGACGCCGGCGGCACAAGGGAAATCATCAAAGACAAGGTAACCGGCCTCCTCCATCCCCTCGGCCATGATGGAACAAAGGCCCTTGCACAGAATATTCAGTTTTTCATAAACAACCCATCAGCAAGGAAGAAGATGGGATCTCAAGGGAGGCAGGTAGTGCAGGAAGCTTATCTCAAGCAGCACACCTACGGTAAGCTGGCAAAGGTCATAGCCAAGTGCTTGAACGTCAAACAATAACGTTATCTGAATTCCTCAGAATTATTTTCATGTCTTTTGGAGAAATTGCTCACACAAATATAAGCTCAATTCGTGGTTTCTAAACTCATTCATTTTCGAAGCTGTCACACGGGTCCGAACCGTGTATGTTATGGGCCCAAATTGCCACGTGACTCCGTGTTATTGGACACCCCTGATGCAAATTTACATCAGATGCCCTGTTGCAATAATTTCTCGTCACACGGACAAGATTAATGAAGGAAGGCGATGTTGGCATTGTTTCTTTTGGCAAATATATATATTTTAATGTATTTTCATGTCAAAAATATGCTGCAGGAGTATGTGGTGTGGAACTGGTTTTATGAATGTCTTGTGGGGGGAACGTTACATGTACCTGCACTTTATGTTGACGAACTAAAAATTTGAATGAAAAATAATTGTGGCATCGTAACGGTCTCCATAGCCCGTCATGCACCCATGCGAGTAATGAAAATTAGAGCTTGAGGGGTTTTTATTGCTTTTTTATTTAGTTATTTTTTAATATATTTATTTTTTCCACCTTTTTTTTTTTTTTGCAAAATTAAATCAATTTATTTTGAATTTTTAGATGCTTTTGGGTATTTGAAAAATGATTGTTATTGCTGCAGGCTGCTGAAGTAATAGTAATTTGGCCAAACATATTTAGCTATTTAAAATTCAATAAATATAAAAATGAAATGTATTTTAAATGCTCCAAATGTATTTAATTTTAGCATATATTATAAACATTCTCAAGAAAATTAAAAAAAAAAAAAAGAGAGGAAAAGCAAAATTGGAAAAATTGACTA